TAGATAATAAATGGATGGAAACAGAGAAAGAGAATCAGATCGATTCTGAGGGCATGACTTACACGTCCCAAAAATACAATTGAATATAAATAGTTACTTATGGACTTGTAATGGCCCTGCTGTGTCCTTACATCTGCTCGCAGCTCTCACATAAAGTAACTAAAAGTCAACATTATTGATTTAAGCTTGACCATCTTTTTGAAAACGAGAGGCCCTGTCACATAACTGTTGAAGTCAAACCGATCAGGTGAGTAACCTGTGATTGCTTATGCCAGCACTGAAAACAAAATGTACACATGCCTGTGTTGAAATAGAATTCCTGTGAGTGACGCTGACATCAGCTTATGTAAACCACTCAGACGGGGTCAGAGGAGGCCATTCAAATGCATTGCATACAACAGCACTTGAGTGTCAGACCTCTAGGTGGGGCACTGACACCTTCATGAATGAAAGAGCCTCCATGAGCAGACCTGTTGTCACTGATGTCTCCAAGTCTGGCGTGATTACTGTGGGCTCAACAAAAAATAGCCTCAGGGGCCCACAAAAATGCCCCTATGTACCCTGGAACATGCATAAAACTTAGTGAAACATTAGTGCTTGCGGTGGAGGATCAACAGGCTTCGCACGCTATTAACAAAATGCTGATTATCTAAATCTTACCGAGGAAGCAAATCTCAGTCGTTAGAAACATCAGCAGGGAGGAGTGCCACTGTTCACACTGAAACCCGTTAGAAGAGTGTAAACACATTTTTTTTTTACATAGTGAAACGTTTCTCTCTTGATCTGAGTGATTTGGGAGCCATCTGTGATCCTTTTGGGGACTGAGGACCATTTTCTGAGTGTAATTCATTCTATTTTCATTATTCAGTTCTCACATCGCCGTGTTTACATCTTTAATAAGTTCAAATAAACATCAGTTGAGGTGAAAAATCTGGTGCAACATTTAGAATTTATCATTAAACCTTGTCCTAAAATTGGATAAAAACATCTGTAGAAGTAGGCAGCATGCACATACATTGTTTATAGTAGATGTTTTTAGTAAAAGTAAAATAGTAAGTCGTCAGTAAATGGTATCTTTCAACCATCCCCATAGCCGAGTCAGCCACAAGCTTACGCCTAAGTTTGATAAATATTCTATTTCAGGTGTGAGCATTTTCTCACAAATTGTCTTGAATCGGGGATCAATATCTTTTCTCAGGTTGTAACCCATGATAGAACTCTCCCCGACCGGCTGCCAGGGCCGGAAACGCCCGTCCTGAATCTTCTGGGCTCCAACTGCTTCTCCACCTTCAATGCAGATGGCCTTCATCGCAGCATTTCTCCCCCTCAGCTGGTTTACCTCCCGTTTCATTCTCTCTGTCCCGTAAGCCTCTACCCTGGCCCAGAAGGAAGCATTAAAATGCTGATAGAGTCTCCAGTCGGCTCCGTTCCACTGCAGAGCTTTGGCTCTCGTCTCAGGGTCCAGCCGAGACACAGACGAGCTTTTGCGAGCGTTAAGCTTAAAATACAGGATGTCGTCCGTGCTCCAGCACAGTAAATCCTTAAGCAGAATAAGAGACTCCTCGAAATATTCTGCTATGAGGACCAGATGAAAACGTCTCGATAAGTTATTAATGCCTCTCATTACACGAGGGTCATCGGCGTCAAGGTTGTTGTCCAAACCAAAGTCAAAAAAGAGCAGATTTTTAAGATAGAACGAGTTGTACGCCTCCGGACTGTAGAAGGCCTGAGGATTGTTCAGGAACTCTGCCAGTTTGTTCTCTCCGCTGATCCTCCATGTGAGGGGAACCGCTCTGTGGTAGTAATGGAAGGAGGACTCGAAGAGATCCACCGGGTCACGCAAGATGGTGACGTACACAGCATCCGGAGGCAGGAGCTTGGCTACTTCCCGATGGTCGAAGCGCATGTGGTTGCAGACGATGTTGAAGCACTCTCCGGGTCTGTAGTCCTTCACCTGAGAGCACAGGAAGGGCGACGGGTAGAAGAAGTCATTGCGTCCGTCGGGGAACGCAAACTTAAGCTGGTGCTTCTCGCCAAACCTGAAGAGGATGTTGAGGATGGTGCTGCTGGCAGTTTTATGGGTCTTCATGAACATGATGTTCACTTTGGGGGAGCACGCTTGTGTCTGGGATTCTGCATTCTGAGAGGGCATCGTCGAACTTTTCTTTAAAAGTCTCGCCATGCTGAGAGGGCACGTGTCTTCATGGGAACTCCTGCAGACAAATAGCAAAGCTCAGTTAATTATGCTGACTTTTCCTCAATAAAATGATGCTTTCCTTTTAAATATCGACCTGATCTTCACTTGACTCGGGCTCGTCAGGCAGTACAGCAGCAGCATGATGTTGAACAATAAAATCCAGGGAATCAGCCCTCGTATTGAAGTTGCGCACGTTCTTCCTTTGATGCCAGGCATTATTAAAACCCAAATGGGAACCTGAAAACAAATTTAGAGCACATACATGTATAGAGGAAAACACTCTGCTGGATCTTCTTGTTGTGATCCAACTGAACCAACGACCAGCTTCATGAAGCTTATGAACATTTCTGCCAACTAATTACCTCCTTACCTCATCCTTCAATGCAGTAGTGTATCTATGCTTTATAAAAATCACACCATACTAAGGTCTATTTAAATTAAATGTCATTTATTGTATTTGTTGCAGCTAAGGTTAAAAAAGAGCAAACTGTAGAATGAGAAAACACAGATAAGGAAGAAAACTGCTGCATCATTCTTTCTAGTAAATAAAGCTCAACCCACATGTTGACACCTTAAACATGTTTATGGTTCTTAAATTACCTTTTTAGCAAACAGCACAAAGGGAAGGAGAATTGAGCCTTTAATTTATAACGCATCTCAAAACGGAACAAAAGTGCTCACTTTAGGAGAAAGCACATTTTAAATGAAAATGGCAAAATATGTGAGCAGGTTTCTGCTGTTGACACTGACCAGATGCTCACTCCTGATAATTGCAGACAAATTGAAGCAGGTGGTGTCATGTGAACAGGTGTGTCCCTTTGCATGCCTGGTCCGACTTGTCTTGGACATGGATCATCTACATGCTTACAGTTCATTTGCAAAGTTTGATGAAAATGTGTCTCACCAAGTAGTGAAAATAGATCCAAACAATGAAAGAAATTCAGTTTGATCGAGGCCTACGTATCTGTAGGATGCTTTGAGAACTCTGATTATCATAAGAGTCTGACTACAAACGATATGGTGAATCAAATAAGAAATCAAAACGTTTGTACCTACCTGGAAGTGACAGCATTAGCAGCGTCTGGGTGATTATTTTCTAGACGTTGAAAGAATATCCCCCATTGTTCAGCGTGCCGTGTGCTCTCCCAGAAGCGGCAGGTCTCTTGTTGGGTGCTGGTAGGACTGAAAGTAGTCACCTGTAAGTTCTCCTCCTCCCACAGGGGCCGACCTGGTTTGATCGTGCTATTGTAGAAGGACACACCCCTACGTAACTGTTCCACCAACCATCTAAAACATATCTTTTAAACGTATGTGGCAAACAAGCAGCTTGATGTACTCAGATTGGTGCTTAGGATGTGCTAATTGAACCCAATGTACGGCATTTCTTCTAAAATCAAACTCTCTCACCTGAACCAAAGTTAATATGTGATACTTCCTCAGTCTTAACCCATTAGCTTTATTTACTTGCATGTTCTTATCTACAGCAGCAAATCAAGGAAGTCCGTTCTGCTGAGTGTAACTTGCTGATAACCTTTTTTGTTGTATGAAGCGGAGGGAGTTTGTCAGTCCAGTCATAGGAGCACTGTGCATATCTTTTTTGTGACTGTTAGGAACATTCTTCCATGCTGTCCTAACTGCTCCAAATCAATACACAGAGTCGTCTCTTAAGTTAAAGGAAAGTTTTACCTGCAGCAAGGAATCACATGCACGGTGCAGATTCTGGACAAGTGACTACCGAGTCAAGAAACGTTGCAGCATTTATACAGGCATACAAAAGATATCTCCTCTGCTTCCATTCACTGAGCACAGGCTTGGTTACTGTTTCTGTGATGCTACCCAGCCCCCTCGCAACCCGAGTGAGGATTAAGTGGTGTATAGATAATAGATAAATGGATGGATCTCAGCAGACAAGCATTTCACCTACTGAGCAGTCAAACACTTTTGAAAGACTTTATTAAAACTCCAGGCCCCAAAGCAAAACCTCAATGTGACACATACCTGTGGTCACTGAAACAAAACTAAGTACTGTGATTCTGAATCAGCCTAAGGCCCATGAAATGACCCGTGAACACCACATGGGCTTCGTCTGTCTGCACGTCTGCGTCATGGCTTTGCATGTGAAATAATCACCAGAGGACATAAAACATCTGATTATGAAACTTCACAAAGATGGAAAATGATACAGGAAGATAAAATCAACTGAAAATCAGTCAAAACACAGTTGCAGCAGTAATCAGCAGGTATAGGAGGAGCTATGATGCCACCATTTAGAGTTGCAACGACTGTCATACTAAAATGATGCAGTGCAGTGTTTGCAAAATCAAGCTCTGAAAAACAGGCAGGTATGTGTTAAAGACTTGGGACAATAGATATCAGAGGAAATGTTTCTGTGACAGCTCAGACTGTGTGATGGACGTTGCATAATGTCAACCTCTATCGATGGCATCAGGGAAAATAACTTGCTGTTCGGAGCAAAACTATAAGATTAAACTTTGCTAGAACGCATGAAAACAAGCCTGATAGATTTATGATTCCTTAATCAGATGAGACTGAGATACGTTTATTTGGTTCAAGTGGGGTCCAGTATGTTTACTATGAATCTAGCCAGCCAGTCAGTGCATTGTCCCAGCAGTGACACAGCACAGAGGTGGGTGCTGATAATATGAAGCTGCTAAGGGTGTTAGGAGATGACATTTATAGATGGCGCCATGAACACACAAGAAGAACATTCCAGCATGATATTGATCCAGAGTTTCAACAGGTGAAAAAAGTTAAATCTATTACCCTGTCAAGTGTGTCACCTGACTTGAATCCACATAGAATTCATAATGTGTCTCACTAATACATGTACAGAGCCTCTAAGACTTGCAGGGAGTTATGTCATCAAGTGCTCAGATGTCAAACATGTAGAACATAACAGACAATGACAGCGCCACAAGCACACGCTGCTCTATACACATAGCAGCGCGTGTTCAGTCTCGCTCCAGCTGCTGTGCTGTGGGGGCAGATTAACAGTTTTTCTTTTGTCTCCAGATACCACCTGGGCGCAGGTGCTGCCTCGGCTGCTGCCGTCTGCGCCCGAGGCTAAATTATCTGTGTTTCAGTAGGTCACATCAACTTGGCAGAGGAGCAAACTGCAGTGTGGCAACAGCCGTAGTTGATGTCAGCGACATCAGAATACGTCAGAGGACAGTCGGGCGATCAATTTTACTGAGAGATAAGAGCAGGGCTGCATCTGTCCAGTCTGGGGTTGCTGTGCTAAGTACTATCTACAGGGACAGAAGCTGCAGTTTGCATATCTATAGTGAAACAAAAGACTGTATTTAAATACTCTGTTACTCTGCAGATGCTCTACTACTTCCCAAAAGTGAAGAAACTTATCAGATGTTGATTGTTACAACTTTTCACAACCATAAAAAGGCACAAAAACAATCCTTCTTTACATTAACCACTTTTATTATATAATTTACACATCTTTTTACAAATGCAATGATACAGCAGTAATGAGTGAACGAACAAACAGAAAATACAACAACAAATAAAACTAAAGTTCCCATCAACACTTTAAAAGTTGCCACATTCACATACATAGTTCCAGGTGAGACGATCGACCACCACCTTAAAACAACAGGACCGTCAGATCTATAAAGATCAATTAAGGCTGCGTGACTATGCACTAATGCCACTAAATTACAGACGATCATTATTGTTGGTATTGTGTTAGAATTATGATATTGCAACTGGTAGAAAAATATCGTTTCTGACTTTCTAAAGCACTATTGTTGTGTAAAATACATTAGAACTGCAGTGATTGTGACAAGAAATGTGAATTTTTCGTCCTAAAAAACATTTTAATTTGAAAACGTTTTCTATGACTTTCATTCAACCCCTCAACGGACAACCTTAAAAAGTTTCAGAGCACTGAAACCACATAATCTGACATAACCAGTCTCTGTAAAATCACGCAGCTTCTGTTCTTCCAGGATTTTAGTTTCCTTGAAACAGCAGCTACGTCATGTTTTGGGAACATTTTGGAACACGGGTCATGAAAGTTCCTGTTTTTCTGCTTGAACCATCTGCTGTCAGCGTTTCACACCCGGAAGATGTTGAATTTACAGAAAATGAAGTTCGGACCATCTGGTACGTGTCAACAATTAAAGCAGCCGAAGCATAAAGGATTGGTGAAATGGATCACACGCTTTGTTTGGAGTTTGCACGAAAGGTACTGCAAACAATCGCCAACGGTAGTGAGGCCTTGTTTCAACACATCCACAGTTCATTTGACATGCTATCTCCTCTTTGTCTTACAGGCATCGGTGTGCGGGGATCAAGAGAGATTAAAAACAGGCTCATCTGGGCTGTGCTGCAGCATTCACGCTTCATATTTGGATCTCAGAACTCAAACCAGACATTTAAATATAAATCTCTTTCCAAAGTCTATATGCTGCACTTATATAGCAAACTATTGGTTGATACATTGACAAAAATAAACATGCTAATCAAAATGCTCACAATTCCCCTTGGAGGAGTGTACGGTGACAAAAACAAAACCTAAGTTGCACAGTAGCTTCCGGTCAGTCCTGCTAAAACAATCATAAGGCACTTTTAAGCAGCAGCTACCGAAGATAGAAGCAAAAATATAGCAAGAATCTCATTTTTAAGAGCAAATGTCACTATTTATGTACAAGAAGGCCACCTTTGGCAGTCAAAAATACATCGTTTTCTCTGTTGTGTATCAGAAGACATAAATACTTTAAAAATAAGCAGATTTGATTCTGAGGATTACTGTGGTCAGGCTGAAGTTTAGAGGTAAATATGAATCCTAACTTCTTAATAAAGCAGCATATTTATTGCTACAATGCATTATTACTAATACAGTGCTTTAACCCCTATTTATCACATTAACTTCTAACCACATTTAAAACACCTGCTGGTAGAAATGCAAAACTTTCCTGCCTGCAGTGCAGCCGAGCAACCCCCAGGAAAGATATTCATCTTCCACTACACTAACGGGTAGAGGTACACTGAAGGCAGTGGAATGCTTACAGACATGTTGCAGTTAGCATGTCGTGGTCCTGTGACTCAGTAGACAGGCTTGTAGAGAATCTGACCGCCCAGCAGTCTGCGCTTCAGCTCCTTCCACAGCAGGCTGCGCTCTCTCTGGGATCCCTTCATGAAGCCACGGTTCTCTTGAGCACGGCGAGACAGATAAGGGATGACCTCGTTGACGGGGCCGTAAGGAACGTACTTATAGACCGGGAAACCTGCTTGACCTGTTTTCAACGGAGCAGAGAGATAAGTCGTAAAAATCAATGTCCGCTGTCTCCACCGTGTGAGCGTTCAACGTCATGACTTTGTAGATAAAGTCCATCAAGTGAGCAGCAGAGAAAGAGCCAGAGGGTAAAAAAAAAATTCATGCCACAAGCTGACAGTAGCTGACAGAGCTACCAGATCATATATAAAGATGTGCTACAAAGCTGCCCCACTCCATGTGTGTTCAGTAATGGTGCAGCAGAGTGGTACATTACACTGAAAATGTGGGGTTCATAGTACAACTTCAAACTCTTCCTCTGTCTCCCTTGTGGCTGTTATAGCTTTGATCTTCCCTTTTCATCTGCAATAAAGTATTTTTCAAAAAATCAAAACACAGGACCCAAAACTGAAGGCATGTCCTGGCTCCTCGCTCCCACTGGGGCCCCAAATCATATTCAAGAAAAAAACATGACAGCTAGCAGGTTTCACTTTAGAGAACGTGGGGATGTAATTGCAGATTCATGCTGCATCATGTACAAATGTACACTATGTTCAGCACTGTCAAACCAGGTGAGATGTGTTTGTGTTCAGATTGATAGCGCACACCCCTGCGGAGTCAAACTGACGTAACATTTCAGAACAGTCGGCTAGTGGTATTGCCAACTGGGACTGTTTGCGCTCAGCATATCTACAGATCGGTTGGACTTTTAGGGTCAGCGGCTGCCTGAGTATAGAAAAGCTGACACATATAGGGACTAGGACCTCGACGGCCACATGACCGTGTGATATAACGCGACGCGATTCCATAACTCGCTGTGTACTTTTAGTATCCGAGCTGAGTGCAACATACCTAGCGGGAAGCTGATCTGGTCACACATGCCGAGCAGCTGTCCAAAGTAAACTTTGTTCTCAGTGGGTGACAGGCCCATCTCATTCATCCTGACAAAACAGAGAAACACACGTTAAAGGGCTGTTACATAATCACAGCAGCAGTGTAGTATTCCACCATTGATGTCATAATCTCATTCTGCGAACTCCACAGTCGCTCTGGAAAGTCGACAAAGAGTACGCTTTACTCGGAGCGATGTCGTACGCATTAGCTTAAACCATTGCAGCTAATCCTTTGTGAATGAGAGCTTTAAGGCTTTCGTGTAAGTTCAAACAAATTCTGCACTTTCTACACGCCAACCGTTTAACCATCTTTGGATGTTTTTCAAGCAGGGCTCAGACGAAACGTACTTCTCGAGGGTGAACTTGACAGTGTCCTCGTTGTGAGTGGCAACCATGACGTTTGCTTTCCTGCTGTGATCGATCTCCTCCAGGACGTACTCCAAACACCTGGACGAAACAACAGGGGATTTGGTTGGGATTTGCATATTTTTCAGCTGAATCACGACAAGGGGGGCCACGATTCAAGACTTACCTGTGATACATCCTGTTGGTGGCCTCGTAGTCTGGATTTATGGGATCTTCGTAGCCAATCTCCTCGGCTCTGGCTCTCTCTTGGTACATGTAGGCTCCGCGGACGAGTTTGGCACCGAAGTACCAGCCCTCCCGTCGAGACAGCTCAACATCCAGGGTTACGTTGTCATAGGCTTCCTACATAGAATGACAGCAAAAAAAATAACACAATAAGACATAACAATATATCACAAAGTTAGGAAGCACTGCCAAGACACTAATTTTTATTCTCCACATAACATTTAAGTTTCATTGTTGTTGTACACAAATCAAATATCTACTTCAGCTTTTCTATGCATATGTACAGAAGAAGGTTGCATTAATGAAAAATATCTTCAAGAATGTACCTCAAAATTCTGAATTCTGCATCTCACAATTATAAGGGAAGATCTCAGAGTTACAAGATCTTGATTTTTTGGGGAAAATATCTCAAAATTACAAGAAACTAACCCAAAATAACATACAACAGACTGTTGTGGCAGAAACTGGCTGCAGCATTCCCAGACTTTGGTGTACTTTTTCAGGTAAAACTGGTTTTTAAGGGATTGTTGTTGTGAACTGGGCTGCTTTTGTGACAATAGTGCAGTTTCCACGAATGAAAAGTTGTGCTACATTTCAGGTGAATTGTGGGGGAGGTGTGGAAGGAGTGAAGTGTGTTAAAAACAACAAGAAGGTAGTTTCAGTCAAAACCCATGACAGGCATTTTCCAAGAATACCACAAGGTCACAAAGTAAACCTTCATAAACTCTGCTAAAGTTCTCGGGGGGGAAAGAAAGTGTCAAAACTTTAAAAGCATGATTTATTTACTGTCTACGGTATCAAAGTCATTCAGCGATAGTTGCAGATCCGATTATAAACAGCAAAAAGGAACTTTGAATAGACTATCTGGCTGTAATGAGGGAGCTGTAGTCTCACCTTGAGGTAACACTGGTAAGTGTTGAAGATCACCGGCTTCTCTCTGTTGAACTTCCTCTGCATTTCCAGGGTCAGTCGACTAATAGCTGGCTGGAAGTACGTCTGCTCGGCATCCACCATAAGCCTCACTCCATGATCCATGGCATGCTGCAGTGCACAAAGAATATTTCTGTATTTTTTTTGCTCTGCGTTTGTAAAAACATCTTATGCCACAATCAGTGAATGTGTGAAGCTGTGCACACCGCTTAACCAAATGCTTTGATTTATTTTATTCGCCTCATCTACGGCCTTGATTACAAAAAAAATGAGTTCAGATTTCTGAATCTCCTGTGATTATAACACAACACATCCAGATATATTTGTCCTGGTATCCTCACCTTGGCCAGGATGTCCATTCTCTGCAGCATTCTCTTCATCTGCCTCTCCTCCTCAGCGGAGAATTTGTTCAGCAAAGGTTCCAGATGGCCCGTCTACACAACCAACACACAAAATGTTAACACATCGGGTTTTTGCTTTCTTTATGATTTCACAAACTTTATCTGCGTGTGGCAGGCAGAGGGAGAAGTCCAAATGGGGTGGTGGAAGCAATACGAGTGTCTCGACCATTTAGTCCTGTGTCCCCTTTTCTAACCGATCAAGTTTCGCAGCTGCCTTAAATTACACGAGCTGCTTTAACGTATGCACAAACACGCAATGCATAACAGCACTTCAAAGGGCAAGAGGGCACCCACAAGTCTCAAATTATGTCATGTTTTTAAGCCATAAGAACAAAATGTTTACATGAAACTGCCAGGTACTGTCTTGTGCATCTTGAGACTTGTGTCAACTTGTGTCCACGTTGTGATAAAGAAATCAAACTTCTGGTGGAGGAAGTAAAGGTGGTCCTGTTCCTTTATCACATTTATAGGTCAGGATTTCATGTTAAAGAAGCGTGGAGCATTTCCCCTTTAAAAGTAATCAATAGCTACCAGGAATAAAGGGTCACATACGTTGGAGAAATGTACGTTTTAAGGAGTTTACGCTTCGTGCTGCACAGTCAGTGCACAGATAAGGTGATAAACGACCCCAATGATTCAAAGCAAACAACTTTCAACCTCTTGAGGTATCACAGCAACTCCAGCAGTGTATTGAATTTTCCGCTTTTCCTTTCAGAGCCGGGCTGCACCGCTAAGGGCGTAACTGGCGATGACTCACCTCAAGGTTTGGCACCATGAGCAGATTGGAGATTTTTGTCGTGTCGTTTATTAAACTGTTCCAGTCCAGCATATCTATCGTTCTGCAAAAAAGACGTGAAAAAATTAAAAAGCAGGCACAAAATAAGAGAGAGAAAAAATACTTAGATGCAAAGTAATGAGTGGGCTCAGATGGTCTCTTGGTAAATTGGCACAAATGAGGAGCTACCGTACCCTGACAAACCCAGCTTCTCTCCTGTGAACCAGTTCTCGATGTCATCTTTGGCTCCGACGCCCATCTCGGTCAAGCTCTCCTACAAGGAAATAATTCAACAGTTAAATATCATTGCAATCATGTCACTCCACCGTTGGATTAAAAGAGCACACGGCACTGAGAGTCATGAAGGATTTCAAGAGGAAAACTAGTTCTGCATGAGCACGCATGAACTTGCACCAGACTTTGCTGCAGGCTGGACACACCTTGAGTTGTTCCAGTTCCAGCTTTTGCTCCAAAACCATCATTTCTGATATTCCCTGTTGTGCGGCGAGGAAGTTAAAGAAGCGTCTCCATTTAACCAGGACCTCTGAAAACTGGAGCTGTTCAAACACAGAACAAAACATTAACCATCACGCTGTAAAGTCATATTTATAATATTCATTGTGAAGGTTATAACTGCATTCATCAGTAATTTGTTTACAGAAAATAACACCTTCTGCTCATATTAACTGGCAAATCCTTTTAACTTGAGAAAAAACTGTGACACTGAGGTGTGAACCAACGAATTGTGGCTAATTTTCCCGCCACTTTCTTGCAGTTCATAATTGTAGAAGCTCACGTAGTGATTGGCTCTGGATCAAAACCATAAATATAGATAAACAACTTTACTGGCCTTTAACTAGCTTTGTGCTGATAACCTGTTTATCAGTGGAAGATATTGGTAACTGTACTTAATATCAAAGATATGAAGCGAATCTTACGAGGAACTGTGGGCGTCCCAGTGCAGTCATTTTGATGGCAGAAAACCCATCAGAAGAGGCGCCACCTGAAATCAGAAGTGTCGTGTTAAATCTCCCATTTATAAAGTTCCTTTTTTCCCCCCTTTAAAAAGGATTTATTATATTCTTAATTGCTCTTTCGAGAACCATAATACTTACCAGAGGCTTTAATGCAGTTCATGAACGTCTCCATTTGGTTGTCACATTTGGCCTCGTCTGCGTAGAAGTACGTACGAGCGCTGATGACGCCCCCACGTCGGTCCCCGAACTGACGATGGGCTTTGTACTTTTTCTCACGATGGTCGTCGCCTAAAGTGAGAAAACAGTGACTTAAAGTAAATAAAAGTAGCTTGCTGGGGTTTTTTTCTTGATCAAAACAATTAATTAGGGAATCACTGGTAGTCAAATGTCCTGATTGTAACATTAAGACTTTAATGTTTACGGAAAAACAAAAAACAGCACAAGATGGAAGATAATATTAAAAGTTAATCCTCTGACTGTAAAATCATCAGAATTACTTCCATCCTGCAGTTTTTTGAGTTTAGTACAGATACAAAAATATAACAGATGTACAAAAGCCCTATTCGGGATCTTTAATGGGTTTTAGTTTAATAATTGTTCCATTAGTTGGACATAAACATCCAGTCTTCTTCATCACATTCATGTAACTCATCAAACTGATACAGTAGCTCTACTACTATCCACAATACAACTGCCAGATATCATAAGATAATAAGAATATGTATCAATATTAGAGAAATCACTGGCACGTTATATATGGATCTTAAATCAACCCCCTAAACTCAAGCCAAGCTTCATGTCACTGCACCAGCCGAACTGGACGGACACCACCGGATCCAGATATAACCAGTCCCACCCAGGCCCGACGCCACGTTCGCATGACTAAGCATACCAACCAGGACACCCGGTGCAGACTTGAGTTGCATTCAGGGCAAGATTAAGCAAGTGAATGTCAAAGCGAACCTGCATTTGAACCTGGTAGCTGCACAGCATTCGTGTGGCCAATGAGTCATGTAGAGGCTGAGGAGTTGCGCAACATTAAATACAGTAAGTTCAGCTTATATACATACCTGGACTTTCTTTCTCTGCTTCAGAAACACATGAACTGAAAGAGACGGAAGGAGGGATTGGCTTAAGAACAGAACAACAAATATCGACTTTTACAAGAGAAAAGATTGTTGCGTCTCTACTTATTTAAACCCTCATCTCACCTTCATCAATGTTTTACTGTGCAGGAGTGACGCATGAGGGAACAAATGAAAACACTCCTTTCATTGTGTTGTCTTCTCAATAGAGGGTTTATTTCAATGGGTTTAAATGGGGTCTTCACTAAAATACGATGTTGTTTAGTTCAGCACGTGTACCCTCGTGCTTTGTAAATTAAACCCAATTAAAAAAAAAGACACGATACGGTTATTTTCAGCTCTGACTATTGCATAACACTCTCCTGCATGTGTCTCACGAAAGGATCCAGCACATTACTCTAAAGGCTTGGCAGCGTTTCCATGAGCTCCAGCCTCCCAGCTGAATAAGCGGCTCAGCCAATCGGAGGAGAGGGGTCTGTCTGAGCCGGCCAATAGCGGCCGTGCACTGTTTTCCCAACTCCAGAATAAATAAAACACCTGAGGTTTTAATTACAGTTACAGGTCGAGGGGAGGAAACGTCCCGTGAATGATACGGACAAAACAGAAGCCGTATATGATAAGATAAGAAGTGACTGATACCAAAGTTCAGTGGTACATTTTACACATGAATGTAAATAAAAGATCTGCCAACACATGATGCAGAGAGGTGAACGCCTGCTACTGAAAGCGATCAAACCTCACTGTATTTAAAATGTCAGTGGCTATATGTTTGGAGCAGAAACCTGATACGTAGCGACTACATCCTATCATCATGACTGGTTCAACCTGCTGGAAGAGCCTGGAGCTAAATAAGCTGCCCTATATAATGTTCTGTGAACCCAAACACCTCGAGTCGCTTCGGTGTAAACTTACAGTCTAGTAAAGAATCCACCACAACGTAACCGATACAGTGCAGTAAGGCACTTAGAAGAAGTCTTTTCTACAATTTCCTCTTGTTCCTTTGTGTTTTTTTCCAGTGTGCAGCTCCTGTTACAGCCCATACATGCAGAGGTGGAAGCGAGGGAGTGTCTCTCTGTAAATGCACTGATTTGCCAGCCTTGTTGTTTAAAAAAAAGAAAAAAACATTGCTTCAATCAGGAACAGAATGTCCCATTGTGGAGCACCTAAGACTCCTTATGTGATACGGGGCAATAGAAATAAATTAAACTCAGGTGATCTTTATGAATTTCAGGTAAATGGATCCTCTATTGGAGCACATCTGGCTTGTATTAAAGATGTATTATTTGTGCTTGGTGTTTCTGAACCCATCACATTTAATACTCACTCCATTTCTTTCTTCTCAGCCTCCTCCTGGGTCAAGTCCTCCTCCACGCTGTAGTCCAAAACCGCCCCCACGCCGAAGGCCTGGTTCTTCTGGATCAGAGGTTTGATGGAGTTGTGGTCTTCTCCCGCCACAAACTGGCCGTAGAAGGTCATCTTCATCATCCTCTCGAACATCCACTTGCCCAGCAGCTTCTTGCTCAGGTCCATCAGCTGGAAACACAAGGAAGGGAAAGAAAAAGAAGAAGAGTTTTACTGGCCTGCTGTGACATGCCTTCAGGTGTCACCCAAACAGGAAGTAGTGTGAACTCACCTCTTTGTTCTTCTCAACCAGGACGTCGATGGTACACAGCTTGAAGACCAGCAGACTTCGGAGCAGCTCGATGTTCCCTTTGCTTCTGTAGGCTTCCTGCGTGTTGTCGAAGTCGATGTGGATTTTACTGAGCGGCGTGTTGCTCAGGCTTCTGGTCTGGCTGATGAGCTCCACCGGCACAGCCTCCACCACGGTGCATTCATCCATCTGCGGCTCCTTCTCCTCCTGGCTTTTGGCGGACGCGACCGTCGAGCGACATCTTGCAGGTGAAAGTCTCAGCTTTCCGATGCTGCCCGTGTTCGCCCTCACCAGAGCCGGGACGAACTTAGTGTACGACATGTTTGTTTCGCTTCCGAACAGCTTCCTCTGCGCGAGCCGCCTTGCACTCTTCGGTTAAGTAGTGCGCGCGCTCAGGAGGAGGATGAGAAGGAGGTGGAGGAGGAGAGGGGCGGGGCCTCACGTGTTACATCACTGTGCCAGGCATCACGCGCGGACACATGCTGGCAGCAGCGATGTTTGAGGTTCAGCTGACACTTTATCACAGCGTCCTCAAGTTTATTCATAGCCTCCCATTAAAGAAAATAAAAAAAACAAAAACAGCAGCTGTCACTCAAATAGGCTGCAATTGGCAAAAATAATAATAAATAAAAATTTTAGTGAAAATGTTGACATTGATTTTGAATTGTGGTTCAACAGAAATACATAAAAAATAAATAAATAAAAAATCAAGCATGATGGGACCTATAAACTAATATTTTGTTGAACAACCCTTTGAGCCAGTCACGTGTTTTCTGTAACTTTCAATCAGACTTCTGCACCTGTTGACAGGGTTGTGCGATGGTGCAGCGAGAACCACCTGCAGCTGAATGTGACGAAGACCAAGGAGGTGGTGTTGGACTTCAGGAGGGACAAGTCACCACCCTCCCCTCTATGCGTCAACAGGACTAATGTGGAGATTGTCCGGACTTACAAGTAGCTGGGAATGAGTCCACCAACACAGAGGCTGTCTCCAACAAGGGCCTGAGCAGACTCTGCTTCCTCATGAGGCTCAGGTCTTTCAGTGTATGCATGCTCCTGATGTTCTATCAGTCTGTGGTGGCGAGCGCCATCTTCTTTGCTGGGGTGTTCTGGGGCACAAGCATCAAGCATCGAGGTGAAGGACGCCAACAGACTGAACAAACACATCAGGAAAGCCCAGTCTGTTGTTGGCTGTCAGTTGGTCACCCTGGAGGAGGAGGAGGTGGAGCAGAGGACCAACCTGCAGGTCATCATGGACAAATCCTCGCACCTCCTCCATCAGACTGTGGACAATCTGAGGAGCAGCTTCAGCAGCAGACTGATACAACCCCGCTGCTCCAAGGAGCATCACAGGAGGTCATTCCTCCTGACAGCAATAAGACTCTTTAATGCTCCAATCTAAGCAGTGTATTATTGTATCATATGATAGCACATTATCATTTGCTCATTCTGTTAATTTGCATATTTCTGTATCTGTATCTCTCTTACATATAATTGTAAATTTACTTTCTTCTATATTATATTTTCTATATTTTTGTCTTATTTTACTTTATTTAACCATCATTTCATGCCTTACCATAATACTCTGTGTTGTCTTTTGCCTTGTTTACCCGCTTCATGTGCAAAATTTTAATCTCATGTGTAAAATTTTATTCCATGTGCAACATTTTGTATTCTCATGCAATTTTTTTTAACCCTGTGTGCAACATTTCATGACATGAGAAATATGTCGTTATCATGTGTAATCTTGTTAATCTAATGTGGAATATTTAATGTGCATTGTTTTAATCTCATGTGCAATTTTGATTTTATGTGCAATAAATTAATTTTCACGGGAAATATTCCAATTGAATGTGCAATATGTCGTCATCCTGTGTGATATTACTTTACTACCTCAGAATCACTGCCAGTTTCACTTTTCTGTTTTAACTTACTTCTTTCACTTTCGGAAATGTTATCGCACCTATATTTTATTACTTTTCTCTTAGACACAGCATTTATTCATTCATTGTTATGTAGTTTTGTTTTCTGACAATAGAATTTTCTTTCAGATTAATCATGTTTCATGTTATCATGTCTCTTATCTTCACTAACAAACAGTTTAACTCTCATCCTGCCAAGATATTTGGAACAAACATCATAGCAAAAAATTGCGTAATTTCTTCTCAAAACATTATTACTTAAAACATAAAAGTATTGTTGTTAGTTTAGATAAGTTACAGTAAGTTTGCATTTTGATTACAACTTGTATCCCAAGCACAGTCCACATTTTTTTTACTTTAGAGCTTATCTATTATTCTTTGATAATGCTATCATCATGTTTCACTAATTTCATCATATGTCCCAAAATTTAAACAATGCTGACTCTGCCTCCCCCTGACTTTTAGATTGTGGTCATTGCCTGTTATCATTTCCAAGATAGTGCATACTTGGTTGTTTTATCACATCCATTCTGTTACAGAGATGTAGATTCTATTAGTGTTTAACACACTGATGTCATCTATATTATTGTGATTTATTCCAGATTGTTTTTATAACCAAACACAAGCTGGAGCTCTGACAAACAGAACAATTCCTCTCCAATCTTTCTCCTTTGAGCTTTTTTTCCCCACACTCACACCATGTCATGGTCATTGTCAGACAGCATGGCATATTTTAGTTTGAATCAGAACATAAACGTTGAATTCTGTCACAAATAAATTTTTAGAATTCTATTATGTGTTGCATTTGTGAGTCTGATCATCATTTGTTTTAGAAGGAGCAGCAATGGCTGAGCGTGACATGTTTTGGCAACAGCAGGTGGCAGCACTGCAGTAACTGTGATTGCTGACTACCGGAAATGAGAAGTAGAAGAAGAAGAAGCTAGCCGCTCGTTGAGGTTGCTAGCTACACGGAAGCGGCACAGTGTGCAAGCTGGTAACATTAAATCTACAAAAGAAGGCGCCCTCACTTGCTTTGAAAGGTAATCGTGCACATTTGATATTGTAAATGTCTTCTGCTACACGCATTTATCATGCATTGCCCAGTTACTTGTATTTAGACAGTTAGAAATGTTAGTATATTTTAGTCTAAGCTAAAGCTCCTTAGCCTCGCTAGCTGACCTTACGTTATCAACAAAGAGACTCGTCAGCTGCTATATTTGCTGCTGTACATATTCGGCTGGCGCTCACTCTCCAGCCATAAACGTTAAGTTAAACCGTTGCATGGATAGTTAATGAGGATGTACTTTGCGTGAAATGCTTTTAAAGCAAGCAACACATCGTATACATCGGACATTAGCTAATGCTAGCTAGGTAGCTGCGGGCTGCTTTAGCAGTAGCTCGAGCGGTGTGTTGGAACACAGTGGAAGGTGAATGCTGAGCAGATACCCGCATTTGCTGCCTTATAAATAATATTAAAAGGGACGTTTTAAGTTAGAGTTTTACACATTTTCGCCAATGGAAGTTTTATAATTCAATCGTCCGTTTGTCAGTGTTTAGCTTTAGCAAGCAAACACGTTTGGTCTGTTCACCGTACACAAGGCCCCGGAAGCGTTTTGAACCACAGATGAATAATAGAGGATTAGAAAATGCACCTGTTGGTTGTATACCTGTTACGCAGTTCAGTCAAACATCCTTATCTTAAATACTACATATTTTAAAGTTACGTAATTGTGCTTTTTTTTTTGTTCCTTTTGTTTTGTATGTGTTCCAACACAACGTGCATAATGCTAATTCTGTAGCTTCCACGTTGGAAAACAAAACAAAACACACACACACACACACACACACACACACACACACTAAATCCAGTCAGGCTGGAATGCAGGTGTGTCCACGAAGAGTACGAGGGGTCACAAGCAGTTTTAATGACTATGATAAGAACGTGAATCATTTGCTAGAGCCTGCATTCACATCTCAGTCAACCCAAACAGTTTGTAAGCTCCTGGAGAGAGATCAACAAATGTTAGTATTTCCTGTGATTTTGTCTGTACATTTTAATGTCTGCACCACACACTGAAGTAAACATTGTCTGTTACTTAGTGGGATATTTTCTAGTAGAGAACCTCCACATGATACTTACATTGTTAGTTTAAAGAGCATAATACTGTAACTAATGATTGAGGTTGTTGGACATTGATTACCCTGTGTTTTAAAGCTTTCAGGCTTGGATCCGGGGTCCTGTGCCATTTTTCTTGAACTCATCATTTACTGCTATCATGGCTGCATCCCTGGTTTAGCGATTTGTTTTTGTCTAAATTAAGGAATTGGCTTCGGATGGACTAAGTTTTGGATTGGAACTAGGAATAGGATAAGGACCGCTTCTACGAGCTATTTGTGAAAGCAAGAAGTGATCTTAAAGTCTGCAGGTGCCCCCCCATTCTGTGTCAGCAGTTCCACCCACTCAACCACCATGTCTGATGGCCGGATCTATGTGGGGAATCTTCCCGTGGACGTCCAGGAGAGAGACATTGAGGATCTCTTCTACAAATATGGAAAAATTCGCGAAATTGAATTGAAGAACAATAGAGGCACTATCCCTTTTGCGTTCATCCGATTTGAAGATCCACGGTGAGTTTTTGGGATGGTCTCTGGCAAGTCGAATCAAATTCCCCTTTGTTGGACCCCTTAAGTAGTATCGTATAATATCATCGCCAGCAGGGAATGGATGGAGACAGCCTGTCCAACTTATGTCCGCTAGGCCTACTTTGGTAAGGGGTTCTTTGCTCTCTTCTCTTAGGGATGCAGATGACGCTGTCTATGGAAGGAATGGATATGGATATGGGGACTCCAAGCTTCGTGTGGAGTATCCTCGATCCTCTGGTGCTAAATCTGGTCCCATGGGAGGCGGTGGAGGAGGAGGAGGAGGAGGACCAAGAGGAAGGTTTGGACCCCCAACTCGAAGATCCGAATTCCGGGTCATAGTAACTGGTAGGTGGACGTTATAGGTCGTAGCCAGTTAATAGTAATCACTCTTTCCATTCGGCCTGGAAGTCAAGGGGACTGGTAGGAAGGTGGACATAGGAGTCGTAGGCAGATGTGTTTCTCTCTCTCTTTCTCATGGCGGACTGGAGGACAAGGGGACTAGTAGCTGGACATCATGAGTCGTAGGCAAATGTGTTTCTCTTTCTCATGGCGGACTGGAGGACAAGGAGACTAGTAGAGGACGTCATGAGTCATAGGCAGATATGTGTCTCTCTCTCTCTGTCATGGCGGATTGGAGGTCAAAGGGACTAAGTGGATGAGGTCAAGTCCGCACCTAAAGTCATGAAAAACAAATGAGTAAAGTGAAACCGGTCATGTTGGCTGAATAATCCCAATCACCGGCTATAGTGACTGGTAGGTGTCATTTTGTCATTGTGTATTATTATTTGTTGTGTGCTGCATTTATTGAATGTTTAGAGAAACTGTGTAGCTGGACTGCTTATCTAACATCAAACCCTTAAAGTTGTCTGTCTTAAGTGGTCATACTACATATGATTACAACAGAGTGCTTAAGGTCATTCATCCCATTATTTCTTTTAAATTGTCACATCAGTAAGGCTTTCTTGACTATCAAGACCTGTATCATACACAGGATCTTGTGAAAACCGAGTGGAGAAGTGGATAATTCTACCTCTCTTGAGGCTTTAAAGATACCTTTTCCAATTGATAATTAAGATGACAGTCCATTTTAACATTTCCAACTCTGGGTTTGGCCTTAAACACTTATTTCAGCAATAAGTAACTGTGCTGGATAGAAACATATATGTACATATAGACTGTAGGTGTTAAGTGAACTGCAAGTGCCATAGAGTACTGCCATTAGACACAGCCACTCACATGGGTTGCAGTTTATTTGCCTGTTGTTGTAATTAGTTTTCACACAGACAGACACGAGGTGTTGGGGAGGAGCTTTGCTTTTTGTTTATGTTCAGACATAATCATAAATCCATCTTAACCTTATGATTAATGATAATTCATTTGAAAATGTACAGTAAGGCTACAAAACCCAGGCTCTTCCCACTCCTCCATCCATTTACATTCAGCTTAACTTTGACTTTTTTAGGCTCACACTTCATTAAAATGATCCATAAAAGTAAAGTCTAGAGAGTTTATATTTTGAACTAAAGATGAAACTTTTGCCTGCAAGGTAAAATATATTTTTTAATCATATTTATCTTTTCCCATTCCAGGTTTACCACCAACTGGGAGCTGGCAGGATCTGAAGGATCATATGCGCGAAGCAGGCGATGTTTGCTTTGCAGATGTGCAGCGAGACGGAGAGGGCGTGGTGGAATTTCTCCGCAGAGAGGACATGGAGTACGCGTTACGCAGATTGGATCGGACTGAGTTTCGTTCGCATCAAGTGAGTGTCGTTGACGATGAGATTTATTGAGATGGTGAAACAAGCGATGGTCTAAGTTTTATTTTTGTTCTTTCGTAGGGCGAGACCGCTTACATCCGCGTCTACGAGGAGAGAGGTACTCCGAACTGGGGTCGCTCACGTTCCCGTTCCAGATCCAGAGGGCGCTATTCGCCCCCATACCGAGGATCTCCCCCTTCACGCTACCAGTCACCTCCACGCCATGCTATGTCAAGGCATAGTCCACCCCCCAGGAGGCACCCTCCACAGCACAGCCCGCCGCCTCGTCATTATCGGTAGAAAGGCTCGCCAACTGCAGAAGGAAATGGAGGAAATGTTTTGTAATTCAGCATTTTATCTTTTTTTTTTTCTTCTTTTTTTTTTTAACCCCAGGCCTCCTCGTAGGACACACCGTTGTTATTTCTTTCATACATACATTCCATGATCAGAAACCCCCCCTGCCCCCCTGAACCATGTCCTCCTCCCTACAGCCTTAAAGATTTTTTTATTTTCCAAACATCCACGTGTTATTTGGAAGGTTGTTTGAATTTGTTTTTTTTCTCCTTCTTCGTGAGATATCTGTATTTGGCGATGAAACAAGATATTGGATCCTGGATTGTGCTGTCATGTTTGACAGGTACCAGTACTCCTGTCTGATGTTATAATGTCCAAAATAAATTGTACATTTCTGCAGCTATCTGATCAAAGGTCATACTGCTTCTTAAATTGACAAAATTTTCCTTTTTGTGTGTCACATTTCCGTAGCTTTAAGTATGACGTTTTTTGCCAATCTAAGAACCTGTGAAGCTAATCATTATTGTAAAATTAGTGAGCCTTTTAGAGTAGTGACACATGTTGACTGTGAGCCTCTCCTGTTATTTTTTTTATTTTTTTTTAACGTGTGAACCGCTGACCGAGGTGGCCTGTAGGTGGACTATAATTTGTATGCATCTCTAATGTTGTTGTTTTTTTTTTTTCTTTATCAATAAAATGCAAACTTTTACTGTGACAATTTATTCTTTATCTGAAAACTTGTTTTTATCCCTGTGTTCTTTCAAGCAAACTTCAATTTAGATTAATTCTGCTGCAGATATTTAAGTCATGAGTGGCTAGTTGGGATAGACTTCATAAAAAACAAACTAAATAGTGCTGAGAGGATGAAGTTGGGCTTAGCTCTTTGTCCGACACGCTGTACAAAAGATTCACTGAGATCCAAATACATTTCAAAAGATTAGTAATGTAAAAGGTCAACTTAATATAATGTGCACGACATATAACAAAATTAATATCGCAGCGATCAAGCTTGCAGTCAACAAAAAATACGGCATCCCACTCATCCTCTCCTTCACCAACTGCCTACGTGCAGGTGAGCATGTAGCACCCTGTACCATGTGACCAGCTCCCAGCAAATAATCAGAATTATACAAATAACCAACATCCATCCATCCATTATCTATACACCGCTTAATCCTCACTAGGGTCGTGAGGGCTGGAGTCTATCCCAGCTGACTCAGGGTGACGGCAGAGGACACCCTGGACAGGTCACCAGTCTATCACAGGGCTACACTTAGAGACAGACAACCAAGCACACACATTCACACCTACAGACAATTTAGAATCACCAATTAACCTCAACATGTTTTTGAACTGTGTGGGAGGAAGCTGGAGAACCCGCAGAGAACCCACGCTTGGGCGCTTGGCATGCATGGGGAGAACATGGAGACTCCACACAGAAAGACTGGGACGTGAACCGGCGACCTTCTTGCTGCGAGGCAATGGTGCTAACCACTGAGCCACCTAGCCTATCCCTTTAAAATGAAACTAAACTAAAATAGAATTTTGCTGTAGGACTACTGGAAAAAATACAACAAATTTGCATTGGATGATTAAAAGATTATTGTTTCTAAATATGTTTTGTCTAGAAAACACACACAAGGCACATGGGATGCAAAATATAAGATTTTTAATACACAATAAATTAATTATACTCAGTGACCATTTTAGAAGACAGAACAAAAATAAAAATATATTTATTTCCAGTGGCATACTTTTCACTTTCTTTTCATTATAATCAGACTAAGCCCATATACAGACATCGTATTGCATTTAATAAATATGTACTAGCTTAGATTCTTTTTCTTTTTTTTTTTTTGTACAATAAGTCAGTTTCTTTTTGAACACATTGTTTACTGTAAATCTTCTGACAACAAACAGCAATACACAAACAGCAATACTCAGGCATGTTTTTAGAAGATCATATGGAGACACGTTAGCAGTGATAGCCAAACACTGGAATTCAAGCCACAGTGAACCAAACATGGGTGCGTTTTGGCTGTTTTGGAGCTGTAAGTGGCACCGATAAAACATTTTCTGACTTCGCCGTTATTGGTATTTAGCGATGTAGAATGGTTTGTCTGCTGTGATTTTGATATATCCATCTGTCAACTGTTGCTGATCAGAATCATGGGAAACCAAAGGATTTAATTTGAATCATTGTCAACCAGCCTCCAGGACATTTTTCTCCTGGAAAGACATGCTGCAGTTAAATGTAAATCATGTTTCATCGATTTAAGGCTGAACCTCCTTCACTGGATTGGATTAGCAGCAGAAAGTTCGTTGATGTCAAAACCTACACTTCAAAAAACCAACATCTACATGGCTGCATACCACCAACTAACCACGAAGTTGATCGTCTGATTTTTACTCTTAAGCAAGATCTCATCTTCTTTAGTCGCTGAAGTTAGAGCTGTCTGAGCAGCACCGTCGAGCGGGGAGTTCATGTGCTCACTATGCCATAAGTGAAGCCTCACCAGATAAAACCGAGCGGGAAAAATGTAATTAAAGAAATGAATTGAGAAATATCCAAAGTGGGCCTGTGGATGTGGTGGTGAGCGCTCAAAGCTGGTTTCCAGCAGGTATGAACGCAGGGATCTTGAGGTAATAGTGACGACGAATGCCACTGAAATGGTACTCAAACAACTGATGGTGCGTTTAAGACACGGCAGCCAAGATCAGCAGACAGAAATCTGTTCAACTCATCTTGAGGCGAAAGTGAAAAGGTGGAAGTGCAACGTGTGAAGGAAGCACGCTGCCATCGCTGCACATCCGTTTCACACCAAACTGCCCATCTGAAGAGCTCTCACGATGCTGCGTGGAAGCAGAATCTTTTATGAAAACCAGCAGCTGAAGCGTTCAGCCTGAGCAGCATCGTGCAGTTTAAGACTGCGCCGAATGCCTGCGTTTAACCGTTTAAACAATTCCAGAGAAGCGTTAGTTGCACTGAAACAAAAGCGAGCACAAGGAGTCGAACTCAAGCTGGTCGGATTGATGCATAGAGGAGGTCAGACGTAGAGGGAGCACACAGTATGAGAACTCGGTCGGAGGAAACGGTGATACTGTAAATGCATACTATGTGCAATCATGCTGGGCTGCACGGATTTCAGGTTTGCATATCCTGCAAGCTTGTGTGCATCAAACACGTGAAGAGAGCCATCAAATGTTTAAAAAAAAGGCCAACGAGTGGTCCTCCAAATGGCTACTGAGAGGCAAGCCAGAGACCACACACACACACACACACACACACTCACACACACACACACGCTACTTGGACACAACCGAGCACCAACCGACCCCGAACTGGTCGGCAGTACCTCTAATGTTTACAAAAAATCAAATCATCTAATAATGACGCCAGATACTGAAAATATGTTCAAGTGTGTCACAAAATGTTTAACCATGGCAGCTACAATTTCAGCTAAATAATCATGAAAATATATTCAAGTGTATCACAAGATGTGGAACTTAAAGAAGATTGTAGAATATCAATTTGGTTGCTGTATCCCTGAAAAAATAGCTAAATTTAAGGCAAAACAAACAACATCCTGAAGCGGTTTCAACAAGGGTACATTCACTAGGTGAACAATAACACTTGAAAAATACATGAATTTACTGGCAATAATTGCATCTCCTGAATATAGAGAGGAGCGACTGGAGAGAAGTTGTTGCACAACTATCTTAGAGTAAGAGCAGCTTTAATGACCAGTTACGTGTTCAGCAGTCGCCAATCACCGCTTTTCATCAACATCGATTGCTTCCCTTCTTGAATATGTGACTATTGTGTGGTTGTGTCAGTATCTTTAGAACAATTTCGAGCAGAGGGTCGTGGGAGTTCGGCCGTGGCGTCGTTCCGCGTCACTTGTTTTCTATGAGCGTCTGCACTTTGTGGACCAGGTCTCGCGCCATCATCAGGACCTGCGGGACATTGTGTCGCTCCGCCATTTCTGGGAAGAGAATTCAAAAATCAGCATCTGAGCATACAGGAATATGTATCTAGAATATACTTTTATAGAA